CACCCCCCAGGCCCAGCCGCTTCCACATCCTTCCCATGGTCACCCTCACCTGGCCACCAGCAGCCCCCCTCACCATGAATCAAATGACATCCCATCACCTGCCTGAAATAGCTGCCCCTAGAGCGGGCTCATTTCTTCCTTTTAAAAAACCCTTGTTATTAAACAATTTGGGATAGGCAATATATTCATCTGGTTCAAAAATTAAAAACGTAAGATATACAATGTTTCCCACTCCATCCCCGTTCTGAGCCCCCACATTCCCACCCCCGCAGTTAATTACTGTTAGTAGTTGGCATGTCCTAGCAGAGTTTGTCCTGTACATATTAACTAAATACAGTCTCATTTTTCAAAATTCTGAAGCAGTTTTCCCATGAGGGAGCAGGTGTTTTCACCTGTTTTATTGTTAAGAAACAGCCCTTGAGTTATCAGTGCTGTTTGTTTCCTAACTCATTAATTTCTGCTTTTACCCTCATTAATTCCTTCTGCTTTCCTTTATTTTTTTCTTGACTCGGACTGAAATGCTTGCTTGGTTCTATTCTTATTGATAAAAGTATGTAAGTCTGCACTTTTCCCCTGAGCCTTGCTTGAGCTGTGAACATTTGGTTCGAATGTGTCTTTATGAGTTTTTTCTTAGAATTCCGCTATTTCTTTTCTTTTTTTTAAGTCCTCACCAAGGATATTTTTTCAGGGAGAGAGAAGGGAAGGGGAGAAGGAGGAGGGGGAGGGGGAGAGGGGAAAGGGAGAGGGGAAGGGAGGGAGAGGGAGAGAGACATTCATGTGAAAGAGACACAGTGATTGGTTGCCTCCTGCACGCTCCCTGACCAGGGCCGGGGATGGAGCCTGAAACAGAGGTACATGCCCTTGGCCAGAATTGAACCCAGGACCCTTCAGTCCTCAGGCTGACACTCTAACCACTGAGCCAAACCAGCTAGGGCTCCGCTATTTCTTTAACCTCAGAGAAAAGAGAAAGCTTTGCTGTCTGATTTTTGTTTTTCTTTTTCTTTTTTCTTTTTTTAAATATATCTTTATTGATTTCAGAGAGAGGAAAAGAGAGGGAGAGGGAGAGATAGAAACATCAATGATGAGAGAGTCATTGATCAGCTGCAGCCCACAACCCAGGCATATGCCCTGACCGGGAATCGAACCCCGATCGCCTGGATCCTAGGTCGATGCTCAGCCGCTGACCCACGCCTGGCCAGGCTGATTTTTGTTTTTCTTTAACTTTAATTTCCAAGAGGAAGAAGTTTGGGGTTCGATTTGTTATTAGTTTCCATTTTTTACTTTACATCACGACAAAACACTTGTATTAACTCTACTTTTTCAAATTGGAAGTTTTATTGCTGTCATATGGTAAGTTTTCACAAGTATTCCCTGAACACTTGGAAGGGTTATAGTCTCCATTTTCAGGATACAGAGTCACCATCACCCTTCACTTCCCTAAGCTAAATTCTGATCTCCAATCTCCATGCCCCACAGGGCGTCCTCTGGGATTCCACGATGCTGGCCTATCTCCAGCACCCACACACCTAACCCCACGGCAGCAGTTCCTCTGTTTGCAGGGAGCCTTCTGACTCATGCTCTCTGCTCCCACGCCCCAAACCAAACCCCTGACCATGCATCTCCTCTGCTCCCCCTCCCCGTGAAGCAGTAGTCTCTATTTCTATCACCTCCTGAATCGGGCTATCCCCTCACAAGGTCAGGGTCCCCCCATGACCAGGATCAGACCCCAGCACACAGCACGGTTCCCAGCACACAGGCCTCTGGTGCTCTTGCCCACTCCCCAGACCAGTCTTCCCAAGCTTCCTCAGTCCTACATACCCACCAGTAACCCTCACAGGCACCAAGACCCTGCAGCACTGCCCTCGGCCACCTGCATCTGACAAGGACACACACAGCCCACTACCTCCAAGCCTCTGCTTGACTCAGCCCCTGCGGCCAGAGCACAGCCTCACCCTCATGAGCTGGGCTGTGCGCATGAGCGACTGGCAGTTGGATATAAAATGCACAAGGTTCATAGGATGCCAGCAGCCCATCCTCAGGAAGCCAACAGTGTCCATGAGGAGAAATGGTGGTGCCCCGACCTGCGCAAGACTGAGGGTGGGCAAGTGAAGGCTTAGAGCCCAGGGCAGCAGCATCTGGGCCACTTGCTGGGTCTCAAAGAAAAGGCGCGCCCCACCTTCTCCGTGGAAGACAGGCAGATGGTGGGGGAAATGAACAACCTCTTCCAAATAGCCAGGCAACTCCTCAGAGCCTGGCTCATACCTGCGGCCCTCTCTCCATGGACTCCTAGACCCCCCCTGGCCTGTGCACTGCCTGGCTTACCTGGCAGGACCTCATTCCAGCTGACACGAATATAATGGTCCCAGTCGGCCCGTGAATGCTCATGCAGGACAATGCCTGGGCCCCTCTGGAGACATGCTGGTGCCAGGGATAGCACCTGCATCCCTCCACTGTGCCCCACGCTGGAGAAGCACCTGCAGGGCCATGAGAGCGAGCTGGGTGGGCACTGGCCCAAGGAGCTAGAGCAGACCCGCCCCTCCCCTCCTCCCTACCCCAGGGATGAATGAGACCAACATGGGATCGCTGTTCCCAAGTCCTTTCACTGCCTGGCCTTCTATGAAATGGGTGCACTGAGCCCCATGACCTGCCTGGGTTGCAAAGGGGAGGTAGAAACTCACTAACATGGGTGACAGAAGCAGCTCACTGAATGAATGTACCCACACAAGGAGCCCCGAATCAAAGCTGCCACACACATTAGCTTAGGCCCCCAACAAGCTAGGAAATAGCATCCCCCTCATTTCAGAGAGAAGGCAGAAGAGGTTCAGAAGTTAGGGGATTGCCTGCAGTCAGGCGGCTCCTGCATTGTGGAACCAGGGCCGAGGTCAGGTCTGTCCCATCAAACCCGCACTCACCAACCAGACTATGAGGTCTCCCAGGGGTGAGGGCTTCATAAGGGGGGGTCAAGCACCGAACTCCCTCCCTCCCCACTTTCTGCCCTGAGTACTATAGGTCCAGCTCATGCTGGGCAAGTCACCGAGAGTGAGCAGGGGTATTTGGACCTGGGCGGACAGGCCCAGAAATAGGTTGTAGACAACAGCTTAGTTCACTCCAGGCTGAATGCAGAAGAAAGCTGAGAACTCATCCTGCGTGGGAGCCTACACGCGTGGCACACGTACCCAGGAGCGCTTACCCAGACGTGGGGATGGCAGAGAGGAAGTCTGTCTGGCCATGGCAGGCAAAAAGCCTGATGCATGTGAGCGTTCCAACTCACCAAATGCCTGCAGGATGACCTTGCAGCTGGGCTGATCTGGGGAGGGGACACCTGCTGAAGCCCAGCCAAGCCCCAGAGCCCTCATGCCCCTGGAAGTCTGCATGTGAGGCAGGGAACTGAGCTTCAAATCACCCCCAACATGTAGTATCAAGAAAAGGCAACATGATGGTGTAGGGGAAGAAAGCTGGGCTCCACCCAGACCCTGGCTGCGTGATCTTGGATAGGTCACTGTCCCCTGGGCCACTTGGTCTCAGAATGGATCAGATAGTCCCTAGATGTACCTCCCATCAGCTATTCCAGGATCTTAACTCGCCCCCTCCTGGAGCTTAGGAGGCCCTCGGAATGAAAGAGCCTCTGTGTCATGGTGAACGCCTGAGGGGGGAGGCAGGGTAGAGGGGGTCAGTGGGGGAAAAAGGGGAGACATTTGTAATACTTTCAACAATAAAGACAAAAATAAATAAAAGTGGCCAGCAAAAAGGGGGGGGGGGGCT